GGGGGCGCGCCCCCCCCCCCCCCCTGGCAGCAGTGGTGGTAGGGGGATGGCCCCGCCCACACCCTGGCAACAGAGGGGGGGGGGGGGGCGCGCCCCCCCCCCCCCCCTGGCAGCAGTGGTGGTAGGGGGATGGCCCCGCCCACACCCTGGCAACAGAGGGGGGGGGGGGGGCGCGCCCCCCCCCCCCCCCTGGCAGCAGTGGTGGTAGGGGGATGGCCCCGCCCACACCCTGGCAACAGAGGGGGGGGGGGGGGCGCGCCCCCCCCCCCCCCCTGGCAGCAGTGGTGGTAGGGGGATGGCCCCGCCCACACCCTGGCAACAGAGGGGGGGGGGGGGGCGCGCCCCCCCCCCCCCCACCCCTGCGGCCAGGGTGGGGGCGGGGCCATCCCCCCCCCACCACTGCTGCCAGGGTGTGGGCGGGGCCTTGCTGCTGTCTCACCTGCCTCCTCTGGCCTGGCCTGTTCTTAGAAGGACACGGGTCATTGGGCCAGGCCACCCCCTCCAGCATGACCTCGTCTTAACCTGGCGACATCTCCCAGACCCGCGGCCACAGTCACAGGGCGGGGTTGGGACGGCCGCCCATCTCTCAGGGGGGCAGGGTCCCGTGTTGGTGAAACATCAGCCGGCTGACTCGTTGGCTGGTCACCCAGCAAAGTCCCCACAGGGAGTACTGGACACGGAGGGCAGGACACGGAGGGCGGGGCATGGAGGGCGGGACGCGGAGGGCGGGGCACGAGGGCGGGCGTGAGGAAGGCCAGAGAGGAAGAGTCTTTTCCCTGAAGCCTCGCCGTGGGAACGGATCGAAGGCGGGAACGGAGGGAGCGGGAGCAGCCGGCCCACAGGGAGCTGCAGACCGTGGTCAGCTCCGCCTTGCCCTGCGCGGTCAGTGGGAGGGGAAGGGGCCCACGAGGGTGACGGTGAGGCTGGGAGGAGCAGACAGCCATGCTGGGCCCAGAGGCGCAGACCAGGGTTCCAGGGACCCGCATCCATCCCCTGCTCTTCGGGCAGCAAGCTCGCGGCCTACAGACACCTCCTGAGCCCACACCTGTGGCTACCCCCTCCCCCCCGCAGTC